AAGGCAAATGGTTTCGAGATTTGGTTTCGAGTTATCTCTTGTCGCTACAAGGAAGGAAATGGAAGTGGTTTTCAAGGGAAGCGAGAGTCCCAGCAAGTATGGGGGCTTGGAAGCTCATTCAGAAGGGTTGGGATGAATTCTCCAAACGTATTAGGTTCAAAGTCCGAAACGGAAGAGGCGTCAGATATTGGGAGGTCCGATGGTGCGGGGATTTTTCTTTGGCTTCTAGATTTCCTCGCCTTTTCAGAATTTCTGTGAATAAACATGTTGTAGTTGCTGACTGTTATCGGCTTGACAGTGGAAGGGTTACTTGGAATGTCCAATTTCGCATAGAGTTTCAAGATTGGGAGATTATGGAGGTCACTGATTACCTTGCATTGTTGTATTACCAGGTGGTGGAGGGTGTGGGAATGGATGAGATCGTGTGGGAGGTTTCCTCGAGAAGGGTGCTTGAGGTTAGATCTTTTTACCGGAATCTGATGGAGACTCCTAGACAACCCTTTCCTTGGAGAGCTGTTTAGAGGACGAAAGCCCCTTTGAAGGAGGCTTTCTTTGCATGGATCGCTGCCCTTGGAAGCATTCTCACTTGTGATAACCTCAGAAGGAGACGCCAAGTCGTGGTGGGTTGGTGTTGCATGTGTAAGAAGGCGGGGGAGTCTGTGAACCATCTTTTGCTTCATTAACCAGTGGCAAGAGATATTTGGGATATGTTCTTGGTTACTTTTGGATTGGCTTAGGTGTTTCCTGAGTCAATGGTCGACCTGCTTAAGGCTTGGAAAGGGTGTATAGTGGAGAGCCGAGTGCGTGATGCTCGGAGGGCACTCCTCTATGTTTATGGTGGGGGCTGTGGAGTGAGAGAAATATGAAATTCTTTGTTGGGGAGGAGTCTCCTATTTGGGCTCTCAAATACAATATACTTGATTCTTGGTTTTTTGGATAAATGGGCAGAATTGAATATCTATGGATAGCTTAAAGTTGTAGTGTCGCGGCTCGCAGCTTGTGTTTTCTTTTGGGATCGCTCACCTTTTGAGCGCCTTTAATGAATTTTTACTTATCAAAAAAAAAAAAGGTTCCATGTCGATGACTTCAATTGATGTATCACCTGTAAACTTAAACACATGACCTTGTGCACAATTTATACTTTGGATTCAATTTGCTCACAATTCCATTAGAAATTATATAAGTCTTATGAAGAGAGTGAATCCTTGAATCTAGAGACATCATCATTGAATAACGTTGCCTGAATTTGATTCTTTGAACGTTTTTTTGTCTATTAAAAGTTATAGAAACAACCACATTGTCATCTAGGCAGATATATCAACTCAAAGTAGTAGTAGCACATGATATAGTTACTTCGTGATCCATTATTATTACTTTCAATATACTTCCTAATCCTTTGTTGCTTTTGGATTCTTGGATATTTCCTCTACAAAAAACGATCACATTTATTGTCCAATTCCTTTAGAGAACATCCAATGAATTAATTGTGTCAAAACTGTGAAGGCCCTCTTCTACATTGTTTTTACAAGATTAGAAACTTTAGGTAGAAGAAAATAAATGAAGATTTTAAATTAGAATCTTCTAACGAAAAAAATAGTTTATTTATAAATGTGCATGCATTTTAGCTTTTGGTACTAAGAATTCTTTGTATTACCACATTTTTTGTTATGTAACTCTGTTAGTAATCCTTCGATCATTTTTTACCGAAAATTTTGTAGTTGACATTGAAGTTCCTCTTGATAACGCCACACGTAATTGACCATGGTCAATTACGTGTGGCGTTATCAAGAGGAACTTCAATGTCAACTACAAAATTTTCGGTAAAAAATGATCGAAGGATTACTAACAAAGGTACAGATACAAAAAATGTGGTATACATAAGAACTCTTATTACCAAAAAGTAAAAAATGCAAGCACATTTATAAATAAGCTATTTTTTCATAAAAAATTATAACTTAAAATATTCATTATTTTCTTCTAACAAAAATTTCTGATCCTGTAAAACAATATAGAAGATGAGCAGCGTTCGCAATTTTGACACAATCAATTCACTCGATGTTCTCCAAAGAAATTGAACAATAAATGTGATCATCCTTCATAAAGGAAATATTCAAGAATACAAAAGCAAAAAAGGATCCGAAAGGAAAATGAAAAGTATATATTGTGCTGCTACTACTTTAAGTTGATATAAATACCTAGATGATAATATGACCGTTCCTAAAACTTTTTAATTAAAAAAAAAACCTTTTAGGAAAAATAAATTCAAGCAGCGTTATTCAACGAGGAAGTCTCTGGATTATAACGATTCACTCTCTTCATAAGACTTACATAATTTCTAATGGAATTGTGAGCCAAGTGAATCAGAAGTATAGAAATGTGCACAAGAATCATGAGTTGAAGTTTACAACTGATACATCAATTGAAGTGATTGACACAGAACCAGACAAACATGAAATTTAACTTTGCTGACTTAGCAAAGCTAAACAAGTACATTGATGCTAAAGACCCAATAGGTGTCTTCACCACTTTAAAAATTCTATATACACATTCTTATGTATGTTCTATAGAAAGTGTAGAAACTTTTAAAACCTATACTTTATTCCAGATGTTATGGGAATGGTAATTGAGGTAAACTCTCCTTTGCACATTTCTAAGAAGAACACCAGTGACATTTTTTAAATGTTCAATATCATCATAATCATAATGCATATGAAGTGAGTGATGGTCACCTAAAATTACTTCTTATTATACCAAACATAAATCAATAAAAATATCTCTTTCTTATTATAGCTCAAAGACAAGTACTTTGACATTATGGGGAGATCTCACTAAAAATGAAGGACACTTGTAGTGGTTTTTTGGAATCGAATCGCTGCATTGTTCATTTTTAGTTCTCTTAAAAATTTCATGCAATATAAGTGAAATATTGTTCATGTTGTTATATATTATAATAATATATAATGGACAGTGGATTGGTGAAGTTTACCATGCCCTGAATAGTATTCCTGGTTTACCTGTTTTATATACACATTCTTATGTATGTTCTATAAAAAGTGTAGAAACTTTTAAAACCTATACTTTATTCCAGATGTTATGGGAATGGTCATTGAGGTAAACTCTCCTTTGCACATTTCTAAGAAGAACACCAGTGACATTTTTTAAATGTTCAATATCATCATAATCATAATGCATATGAAGTGAGTGATGGTCACCTAAAATTACTTCTTATTATACCAAACATAAATCAATAAAAATATCTCTTTCTTATTATAGCTCAAAGACAAGTACTTTGACATTATGGGGAGATCTCACTAAAAATGAAGGACACTTGTAGTGGTTTTTTGGAATCGAATCGCTGCATTGTTCATTTTTAGTTCTCTTAAAAATTTCATGCAATATAAGTGAAATATTGTTCATGTTGTTATATATTATAATAATATATAATGGACAGTGGATTGGTGAAGTTTACCATGCCCTGAATAATATTCCTGGTTTACCTGTTTTATATACACATTCTTATGTATGTTCTATAAAAAGTGTAGAAACTTTTAAAACCTATACTTTATTCCAGATGTTATGGGATTGGTCATTGAGGTAAACTCTCCTTTGCACATTTCTAAGAAGAACACCAGTGACATTTTTTAAATGTTCAATATCATCATAATCATAATGCATATGAAGTGAGTGATGGTCACCTAAAATTACTTCTTATTATACCAAACATAAATCAATAAAAATATCTCTTTCTTATTATAGCTCAAAGACAAGTACTTTGACATTATGGGGAGATCTCACTAAAAATGAAGGACACTTGTAGTGGTTTTTTGGAATCGAATCGCTGCATTGTTCATTTTTAGTTCTCTTAAAAATTTCATGCAATATAAGTGAAATATTGTTCATGTTGTTATATATTATAATAATATATAATGGACAGTGGATTGGTGAAGTTTACCATGCCCTGAATAATATTCCTGGTTTACCTGTTTTATAGGGAATTAGAAAATATTCGGCAAATTATTGGAAAGAAGTTTTGAGTTAATAATAGTAATTGTAAGTATGATCTTATAGATAAGAGATAAGAATTTTTATTGTAGACAGTTGATTCTGATTCTTTTTTTCTTTTTTTTCCCTTTTTTTTTTTTTATTCTTCAATCAAGGAAAGAAAATTTTCAAAACAATAATGATTAGGACGGCGAATTTTAAAGTAGTTCTCATAGAAAAGAAGAAAATTTATATTATTAGATCAAATGCCTATACAAAGGAATAATAGAATAGTAATATAATGTGTTTGAACCAAAGAAATAGTTGTTGACTATGATCACTCAAGCGCACACCCACCCAACCACACACACGAGCACGCACGCACACACACACACACATATATATATATTTGTTGTTGTTGGGAATGATTCAAGCCTACGACTTACTTGAACCTATCCCACCCATTTACCACTTGAACTCAGAAACTTATGGTACATAAAGTTATTAATGGAAATCTTGTGTATAACAGCGTGTAAATACATGTATGGTATATGATTTATATAAACCCTAATGTGAATCTTTATACACGGATGAGATTTGGGTAAATTGATGGTTGGTTTAGATTATTTTAATGCCTAATAGTATAAACACATGGTATATGGATTATGTGTTTTTGAAATTTCGATCAACAATTTTGATTTATGAACTAAATTCTCCATATTTAAAATTTCTTTACTCCCCCTAATCAAGTATATATTTTACAATTTATCAAAGATATTTAATCACATGCAAATGCACATGCTCTTTCCTAGTGTGTGTGTATATATCTATATATATGCAAGGTAAGTGTAGCAGGTCAAAACAATGACTATAAAATGGGAAATCGTTTCTATATTCCCTTCTTGTTTTACTTCGTTATGTTACCTTTCATTCATCAGGGGGGGAGGGGGAATTAGAGTAGTTCATCTTCAAAAGAATGGCTTTGAAAACAATATAAAATGTCTAAACACAGTGCACACCTGAATTCTTTGATGCACCACCAAGGGGTGAGAAGAGCAAATCGTGATTAACAGATGAAACTTTTCTAACAAGCAATGGGGACCTGATGTCCTTTAGTCTGTCTTTCACGACATTGGTTACCTCTGCATAATATAAAATCAAAATTCAAGGAATTACTAGAATTGTAGTAAAGAAGTCGAAAAGAATACCTAATCACAGTTCACACCTGAGTTCTTCGATGCACCAGCAAGAGGTGACAAGAACAAATAATTGTTAACAGGTCCCACTTTTTCAAAAAGCAATGAGGACCTGAGGTCCCCACAGCTGCTTTTAGACATGTTGGTGATCTCTGCACGTTGTAAATTTAAAGATTACAGTAAAGGAACAAGAAAACTTATTCTGTTACGATCTGTTTCGATTTAACTTTTAAGCGAGTCAACATGGGCATTATTCAAGTACAAAAAAATTAAACAAAAACTGAAACCATGTATATACTCCGGGGAAGATGTTATTTGATAATTATCCCATAACTGTGAAAAAATTAAAAAGAAAAAAGGAAATAATTCTGAACCTGCCTCTGAAATTACCACTTGACTCGAAATGATTCAATTGCGTGTCCTCTTTACGCAATTGATAAGAATGATCGCAACCAGCATCCTTCTTTAATTTCTTGAAGAATGCATACTCAGAGGTTTTGGGGGCATCAGCTGCATACAACTTTTGCATCAGATGAACAATATCTAAAGTAAGAGGAACTACTATTGCCCCACTTGGAAACATACTGAGATAACAATATCAGGAGAATCTAAAAGGGTTAGCCCAGTGCACCAGTTTCCCGCCATTGCGGGGTCTAGGGAGAATCAAATGCACGCAACCTTACCTCTGCATGCACAGAGGTTGTTTCCTTGTTTCAAACAAAAAAACACACTTCTATATCAGGCAGCTTTGGACTTATCACGGTAAGAGTAAGACTAGCAAACTTACAACTTGGAGCCTGTGCTGCTTCATAATGTATTGGAGAAGCACCCGTTCTACAACCTGGAGGGTGATTAGTTTCAGGATCTGTAAACTTCACTCTTTTGGCTTTACCCATATCTATGACAAATAATCAGCTTCAGACAGACGTAGACAATATGATTATTACCACAGAAATGGAGTACAGATTATAGCCCCAAGAAAGCATAGGAATCAACTTACTGAAAAGTGGAATGAGAAAAATCATTATGCTTCAAGAATCAAGAAATCAGCATAAAAGAATAACTTCACAAAATTAAAAATTAAGAGAGAAGTGAAGAATAAAACAGAAGCGTGTTTACAAATATATAACCAGTGAAAAATAAATAAATAAATAAATAATCTTATATACTTGAATCATAAATGTGGCCAGCAAATAATTCCAAGCATAACATTTCCAGCACAACATTTTACCAACAAGAAATTCAATAACTTCATCACAGTCGCCACACAGAGAGTTTTGATCCATTTTCAATCTATATGTGGCCTGTATGGTATTGATACATCAAAGGCAACTTATACTTGGGCTTTGTTTGAGGTAATAGTATAACCTGTAAAAAGTAGCGAATCAGCCTCCGTTCAAAAACTGGGATGATGCACAATTTACTTTCCCTCCAGATGATTCTTCAGGCCAGTTTCTTAACTAATTGTAATTTAGCTCTCAGATTGCCACTTAGAGATTCAACTTCCAATACAATTCCTTCATATGAAATACAGATGATGACAATACCACCCATTATTGTAACTTTTAGGAAGCCATTTGCATACCCATTCTTTAAACACAATAACTGATTGTTCATATGTTAAACAATTGCTGCAGAAAACTAAAAGATTTGGGGAATAAAATGTTTATATCAATCTAAAGCTTATGACAAGACAATTTTTTTTTCCTAGTTGACATTCACACCCCCCCCCCCCCCCCCCCCTCTCAAGGAATTGTTTGCACCCAAGAGGATTCGAACCTTAGACCTAATGCTTCCTGAGGCACGAGGGCCAAGTTCTTACCCACTTGAGCCAACCCCTTGGGGTCACAAGACATAATTTTTACTCCCATATCACAAGATTAAGGACGTGTGCACCAATTCTACTTCACATTCCAATCCACTCAAAGAACAATATATGCTAGTAAAGTCACTTGCACCAACTCCCCCTTCCTCCGTCGCAGTAGAGTTTTAGTTTTCACGTGACAGCTTTAACCTCTACAGCAAATCGTATTAACAAAAAAATATTCCAGGAGTAAATTCCAGAATTTGACCTAGTAAAGTTTGACTATTTTTTATATCACTGAATTTATTCACAGAACTTTCACATCTGAAACTCAGCCAGAAAGCTTAGCTGGTTTGCTGATTGTGGTATGCACGCAATTCTTGTTCAGTGTTCACTTTTCATCTTTATTAATTTTTATTACATACATTATTGGTCAGCTTTATTTTGATCTTAGTAAGTGCTTGAATCATAAGCTTTTAACTTTCATTGAATTCATTCACACACACACACACACACAAACACACATTGCTGAAAACTGTCATTTTTGGTTCTATTTTGTTATGTTTCATGGTGGTCAGCAATGGCAACCAAAAGTGTCTTGTAACAACAAACAGGGGTTAAAAATTAGAAAGGAAGATAATCTAAATATTTTCCTGTAGAGGAAGCTATACTTAGCATACATCAGAATATAAATTACTTGGCTTCTTTACTTATCAAAAAAAAAAAAAAAAAAATTGCTTGGCTTCCCGAGAAGGATTAAGGGGGAATCTCGGTGAAGGACACTGTGCAAAGGGAAGTGCCCATAAGTTATCCTCTTATTCGGCAATCCTATTGGAGAGGGGAGTCATACGTACGCTAATATATTGCACAAGGCCCTTGAGCACAGTCGTGAGTCATGAGTCAACCATTACTGGTTTAACATAGAGAGACGCCTCTAAGACAGGGAACTCTATTTACCTCTGACTCTCGCGAGACAACCATATAGAATGTCCGCGGAAGCCGGGTAATATAGTGAACCCATGGCTTAGAGCTTCACTCGGGAGGTATTGACTATGACGGGAGACTATGTAACAGAGTGTGTTAGTGATGCTCGGTGAGGTAGTAACTAGTAACATGTTCCGCGGCACAATGCTATCCCACCTAGCATCACTCTCGTGGTCTAATACACAGATTGAGGAGTTGCGATGTTGGTGTGCAACAGCTTGTAACTCAACCGACCTTGGTGTGTCATTATGTCGCGGCATGCCATGATCCCAAAACAGGAAAAGGGGTCTGTCGTGGCATGGAGGCTTGAAGGAGGGGCTCACTGGGTGTGTCACATAACCAGGGTATATGGACCTGGGACCTCAGTGGAGAGGGAGGGTGACCATGCTTCAGCCAGGGATGACTAAAGTGCATGGGTGCTAGTACAGAATAAGCTGAGGCACGTGTCAGTACGTGCCGGGACTCCTATAAATAGGGGTACCGGGTGAGGCAAAGGACAGTTTTTCCGGAAGCCCTATTCCCCTCCATGCATTTAATGACATTTTGCCCAAATTCTCCCCCCTGCCATTACAGCTTTCTTCCCTCAATCCGATAAACTTTTCGGGTCACTCTTGATCCACTCAGGCTTTCCCGAAGCTTTATTTCCTGGAATCTATAAACCATCCTCTACATTTCCAAGAGCATGATTGGCCCTCCAAACAAAATTGTATAGCTTCACTGTTTTTTATACGACATTTGAAGATAAAAATCATATTATCTATGATTAAAATCGAAGCCACCAACAATACCAAAACATCATTCAACAACATCGATCAAAAAGCATTGAGTTCTAAACAAAAACTTGCACTTTAAACTCAAACTCAAACTCAAAACAATTTTAACTCGCTATAGAAAGACGCGTATTCAGATGAGATCAATAGAAATAAAATCAAATAGATAATCAATCATCATCAAATGCTAAGAAGAAAAATTTTAGGTTTCACGAAGAGATTCTAGTACCGAATCGATTATCAGAGCTCCGACCTCCACGAAAATCCCTTAGCGAAGAACTGCGAGTCTTTGGTGGATCTCTAGGGTTAATTTTGGATCTTCGCTTCATTGCATTTGATAAATCGATACCCAAAAAAAGTTTTCGAAACCCTTGTTCTGATTCGTTTCTCGATGGCTTGAAAATTTCCAGTTTATAAAGGCCATTGATAAGAGAACGAAAAAGACTTGAAAGAGAGACGTTAGGCGGCAAACGGCACGTGATAGGGATAATATATAAGGACTTTTACAATAAAGTGGTCATATTACCCATAGCCAAACGTATGCATATTTACAAATACATGAAGAAAGTTGTATTTTAGTTCTTTATTAAGCCGAATTTATATTTTCACCCCTAAAAGTTCAATTTATGCATAATTTACCCAAAAAATAACTTATTTAAGTATTAAAATTTTGTCAAACAGCACTTAGGAACTGCTATATAGCGCTCGAATTAGAAGACATAACACGTAGTCTACAAAGAAGAATTGAAGAACTTAGATCTAGAATTATATTAATACAAAATATTTTAGAAGTTAGACGGCAACGATTTTAGTTTATGAATAGATTTGACTTTAATAATTTAGATACTTCCATAAAACGATTAGGATAAAATTTAGATTATATTAAAGAACAAGTAGTACAGAATTCTAATCCGAATAATTTAAATAATAAGATAATATTAGTCGCAATTAAAGAAATCAATAGTGATATTAAGAATATTGCTGAAAACCAGAAAATAATCATAGACTCTTTAAAATCCCTTAAAACCGATATCCAAAAATTATTACAATAGTTTTATGAGCACCAGTAGTCCTGAATATTTAACCGCGTTAGCTGAACTTTACAAAATTGATAAAGAACCTATAAGATTTACTAGCTTTAAAACAGATGTACAGTCAATTAATATACACATTAGACAAAATAACTTTTTAATTCAATTATTACTTCAGTTATCCGATAAAGTTAATAAACTTGAAGAGAAATTAGAAATAATACAAGAAAGTATTCTCAGAGAATCTTCAAAAGAATTAACTGAATTATCAGATCAAATAAAAGAAATAAAATTGTCAATTAATAACCAGTCCTCTCCCACAACAGCTAAGCGTGTAAATTTATTACAACTTCAACCTCATAAGCAAATCCCACAATGGCCATTATCCTTAAAAAAGCCAAAGAAATAATGAGAGTAGAAGATTTATATGATAATGAACATGATGCTAAAAAATATATAGAATAAGGAATGAAGAAGGTAAAAAATAAAATCAATCTTTATTCTAATAATTTATTAGATTTTCAGAGCAAGATATATAATCATTTTAGTCAAAGAAAAATAAGTGTAGTTAACAATCAAATTATTTTAGATCTTATAACACCCGAAGCATGCCAAGAACTAAATAATAATAATCTAGAACTTATGCATTTAGGCGTCATAATGATAGGATTAGTAGGTTTAAACAGAATAGAAACCGGAACTAGATCACTTGCTTATATTTATGATGATCGATGGAATAACCATCAACAAGCTCAAATAGCTAGCGCTGAAATAGACTTAGCCGACAATGCCGCAATAGTATGATGTATTCCCAATTATACGATGACTACTAGAGAATTTAGTAAACATATTAAAATAGCTATATCTACAAAATGATATAATATGACAGGACAATTTGAAAATCTATTAGTTAATACTTTATTTATGGGAAAGGCAGTTAATCAGTATAACTTAAAATTTAAAGCCCAATTTAGTGAAATAGTTAAACCTCTTAGTAGCAAATATGTCCAGATGATAGAAGCCAGAAAAGTAAGCAGTATTACTCATGAAGGAACAGAATGGAAATACCTAAACTTACTACTACACCTAAAAAAATTCCTGAAAATAATATGATATATGTTTCAACTAACGGAGATGCTAGCATAAGGTTTAGTAATTATAAAAGGCAAGACAATTTAGTTGATGATACTCAAGAAGATTTCTTAACTACACTAATAGAGATAGAATCTCCTGAAGAAATAAATATCCTTTATGATAGATTAGAAGATGAAATTTTAGATAAAATATTGTACGAATTTGATAATTTAGAATTTGAATAGTTGCAAGATAAGTATCCAGAATCTAAATACCAACTAATCGAAAGTATTTATTTAGGACAAGGAAATAATGATGATATTAAGAAAAATATTTTAAGTGTCGGATTTGAATCCTTCTATACAGCATTAGAATTAAATACAGTAAAAGAAGAGTTAAATGTAATAGAGCATAGAGAAGGGAAAGCACCAGAAGGATCAGAATCTCATTCAATAGACCAAGAAATGAGTGACCAAAGAAAGAGTAACACCTCAGGTAGTAATACCTTAAGTGATGACTTTACTACTGGACAAAGATTAAATCATTCACGAGAAACTTATGTAGAAAATAGAAATATACTAGATATGTACACCTTAACATAATATCGTAGACAATATAAAAACATACCAGTGCAATCATCAGGAACAATATTAGACATAGCAAGACACGATCTCCAAGACTGGGCAAAAGTAATCGAAAACTGGGAACAAGATTGTATTAGGCAATCTATTCTGACCAATTTTGACAATAGAACTCAAGCTTTAACCTATTGTGAAACCTTATTAAGAGGAACCATTCATGACTGGTGGCAAGCTTATAGAGTAATTTATCCAAATGATTATGCCATCTTACGTGATAATTTTATCATTCAAGGCTTTACAAGCCTCATTAAAAAAGTATTAATTGGTGAAGGCAGATTATTAGATGACACCTTAATAAAACAAAACGAAACTTTACGTAACTTAGAATTACTACAAATTTGCGACTTTAGATATATAAAACCCTATACCAATAAGTTTTTTGAGTATTTTGCAGCCACTGGTAAAATAGGAGATAAAACATTACTTAATCGTTATCTTCAGAAGTTACCCGGAAGCGTAGGAACTAAAATATGGGAAAAATGGTTAAAAACCCTAGACGTGATACGCTAACTATAGGCGATAGAGTTAATCATGTGTATAACATATTAAAAGCCGAATGTCGATAACATAAAGAGTCTAAACAAATCAAAAAACAATTTTATTATATGTGTAAACAAATAGATTTTCCACCCCAATATGGGTGTATGCCTCAGAAAAATTATAATTATAAGCAAAATAAACCTAAAAAATATAATTTGCATTAAAGCAAAACCTACAGGAACTTTCGTAATAAAAAACCCTATGTTAGAACTAACCCTAGACAATTCAAAAAGCGGCCTTGGTATAAGAAGCAATAGATAAATAAAGATAAAAAAGACAACAAAGACAAGGATAATAAGGTAAACACGTTACCCACAAAAGAAAGACATTGCAAGTGTTTTATTTGTGGAGATCCAGGACACATTAGACCAACTTGCCCTAATCGATACAAACAAAACTCTATTAAAAGGATACAAGAAAAGATCAACATACTCGAAAATATTGAAGAACAGATAGAGGAATTATATGAATTAGAAAGTATTTATGACTCTAACGATGATAATGAAAGTATATATATTATTGAGAGCTTAGATAGCAACTTTGATAATGATGAAGACTTTGAATAAGGACTTCATTCATTAGAAGATTTCATTTATACTATAAGTAATCCATCATGTCAGTATAACGCAGTTAGTTTTCAATTTTCCTCTTATAATTGTAAACAGTGCAACATATCTATTAAAAAAGGACATTACTGTGAAAACCATTGTAAAATTTTATTGTGTCATACTTGCTACACAAAATATAAAGATAAGCAAAAAGATATTTTAGTTGAATCTATAAATTCAATATATAAACCATCTAGTCTAATTCAATTTCCAGTAACATTGGAATTTAGAGAAAAATTAGTTTAAACCTCAGCTATGCTTGATACTGGAGCATCTAAAAGTATAATTCAAAAACATTTAGTCCCAGACGAAGCCTTAGTAAAGTTAAATTATAATGTTAATATGAGCCAGTATAATAATGAAAAACTTCCAATAACCCATTGTGTTCAAAACATTCCTATATTAATTAATAATGAAAAGTTCGTTTTACTCCAGACTTACGTAGTTAATAATATCCCTAGCACCTATGATTTTATCTTATGATTAAATTTTATAAACTCACTTACCGGCGGATTTATGTATACCCTTACAGGCTTACAGTTTTTTAAGAAAGGAACCTTTATTCCATCTAAAAATCAATTTATTCCTCAAAAAGATAAAGGAGCCATTACATATGTTAATACTCTACCTATGATAGAAGAAACGACAGAAAATTTATTTGATATATCCGAATTTTTAGAAGATATTTCTGAAGCCTTAACGTTTCTTAGTCATCTGGATTAACCAAAGATTTTCCTTAATAATAAAGCCATATTATAAAACCCCAAACTAAACATAGATAATCTCATAAGATTACCTGAAACCACGGAAATTTTAGGTGAAGACCCCCAGAAACACTGGTATAAAAATAAAATTGAAGTAAAATTAAATATAATAAATCATTTTATAACTATTAAGACACAAGATAATCCTCATACTTTAGATAATCAAGAAGAATTTCAAAGACAAATTAAGGAGCTGTTATTACTAAAAGTAATACAAAAAGTAATAATAGACATAGGAGTTCAGCTTTTATGGTTAGAAATCATGCCGAAATAAAAAGAGGAAAGGCTTGTATGGTTATAAATTATAAAAGATTAAATGATAATACCTACGATGATAGTTATAAAATCCCTAATAAAGATGTTTTAATAAATCGAATCCAAGATCGAAAATGGTTTTCTAAATTTGACTGTAAATAAGGATTTTGGCAAATCCGGATATCCGATGAATCCATTGAATGGATAGCGTTCACATGTCCTGAAGGACATTATGAGTGGTTTGTTATGCCTTTTGGATTAAAAAATGCACCCTAAGAGTTTCAGCAAAAAATGGATACTATATTTAATAAACACTCAAAATTCTGTTGTGTTTATATTGACGATATCTTAGTCTTCAGTCAAACGAAAGAAGAGCATAGAAAACATCTTGAAATTATATTCACTGAGTTCATAACACAAGGACTCATTATAAGTAGTAAAAAGATGATATTAGAAAAACAACATATTGAATTCTTAGGTTTATACATAAAAGATGGAACAATAGAATTACAATCTCATATTGTTAAAAAGATTC